GTGTAGGGCCTCAGGCCTGTGGTAATGGAGCCGCTGGTGGCATTTGAAAAGACAACGGTACTCACGTTGGCAACGCCCAGATCACTATTAACCGGCACCGCGAAAAGCTCTATTTTCTTAATTGTACTGCCAAAGACTTCTTGAAAATTCCACTTGAAGTGGAATCCGGATGCGTCTGTCCGGTCAAGGGAAACAGAGGGCTGGATAGCAGGACGTGTCGTTGATGTTGAAGCAGATGTCACTAAATATAAATTTTGTGAATTTGTCAGAATAAAGGAGATAAATCAACCTAAAGACAGCGTTACAGAAGTTAAATACTGCCTAGTTCAATGCCGATCAGCTACTGAAGATGTCAAACGCCGCATTGTGTTACACAGATTTCCGTATGAAACGGAGTCTTCCAATCTACTACGCTTCAGCACTTAGAGCTAGTTGACTGGAAGGAGGCATCTAGGTGGTGGAACTACTCTGCATGAGGTTGAGGTCTTCACTATAGACAAACACTTCCCCTGGGTTGCTTACCATCACCCCGTGCCACATTCGCTTCCAGAATCAGGGTTGCAGGCAAAAGGAATAAAGCGAGAAGCCACATGTTTCTGTCTGGTGTGAATTCAGAACTCCTGACCTGAGTTTATATACCAAAGCAGGCGATAGGCCCATTCCGAAGTGCGCCAATCACTGGCAGGTATCCTGATTGCATTTTGTCGCGCATTCCGAGATCCACCGAGGTAGCAGAAGAGACCAAGGCCGCGTCTCTTGAAATCGACTTGAAGCATTTTGCTAAATTGCTTTTTTTTAATGTGTTTGCAAACAGTTTTATCGCAGAACACTTTCATGCATGTTCTATTTGTCCACTGAAGCCTCCAAAACACGCTGATCATTTTTCAGTAGTAGAAGTGAATGTCTACTAGTTTAAGACAGGATGATCTTTTAAATCGGTTGCGGCTTTAGTGGAATAAATCGCCACGCCAGAGTGGTTAGGATTCGGACGCACGTTTTCGTCAACAAGACTACACTTGGTGGCTGATCTAGACATCGAAAAAAAACTAAGTTAAACTTCTAAATCGTAATTTGCATGACGACAAGTAACACCTAATCCTATTTAATCAGACGTCATCTTACCATCTTGACTAAATGACGGCGTTTATCCTATTTGCTAGCTTTAGGTCGAATAAACACCACACATCGCAGGGGCATTTAGCATCATGCGATTTTGGAGCGATAAACGTACACTGTCATGACTTGTAGTATTTAACTCCAATTTGTGCAAAATTTTCCAGAACAATGTCTACTTGGTATGTCCTCCTACCTCTTAATGTCTAGCTTTGTTGTGCACAGATCTCGTTGGCTTTAACTTGGTGGTGCTGTGGTCTAACATGGATGACTACCTTTGTCAAACGACGTCGTTTATGGCTCTTTGCAACTATGCACAAAATTGTACAGATGCTCTAAGGGTAGACGAAGATAGTGCCTGGTTTGTAGTAATTATTTAAGATGGCTAGCTTAAAGTAATGGAGGATATTGAAGCAATTTACACGTAATAATGTGGTAAAAAAGAGCGATTGCAAGATGTTCAACCCACTAGTTGATGTCAAAGAATTGCTGCAACTGCAACGCAGATAAATTCATGCAAATGAACGCTACAAACCTACGAGATACACTAACACCAACGATCTTTATTAAATTAGCAGCAATTAACCCTGTGTCTATTTGTACAAGAATTCTCGGTATCAAATTCGTTACAGCGGCATTGCTATTCACTAATACCGCGGACTTTGAATTTGTGAAAGTTGCAAGATCAAAGGCATTTAGACTGCAGCGGCTAACAGAAACACAGCAATTTCATTGACCGGTGATAAAGCCCCTAACTCAGAAGCTCTCTGTAGATGATTTCTAGCAGTAATTTCTCCTTAAAGTACACCAGACTGCGTGAGGTGGGATGACCACTAGTTATTGAGAGAGCCTAATCAGCTTTTGTGACATCACATGCAGAGCACACATTCTCGGCGGGTCAACATGACACGCATACAAAGCATCCACTTCACTGGATTAGAGTGTGTACGACGCGCGTGACCGCCAGTTGAGGGCTGCCTTCAAGACAGCCATTTTAGTCTGCTATTTTGCTCTGTTTTTAATTTTGATATCCAATGCAGCAAACTGAGCCGTCACATGGATGGCTTATTCACGTTGTGACATTGTTTTGGCTGAGTATTTGACATCGTGCCATTTATACGTAAGCAGCGCAAGACAAGGCAGCGGTTACACAAACGTAGATTGTCGATGATCAAGATTTCGAGGAATTGAAAAACAGACACATTTTTATATATTTAAGTACCTGGGTTTGAAATATTTCGATGAGTGTCTGTGGTACACGTCCACCTCGAAAAGATTCAAGTCTCCGTTAACTCATCGAGAAATGTCCTCGACTATAAAAACGCCAAACTGACCCACCAATCTCAAATTTATTAGACTGACGTCATCAGAGAGAGGGATTCATAGAATTCTGCTAAGTGAGGTTGAAGAAGTCGGTAACATCTGGACAATGCCATTGGCTTAGCGATTCAAAAATCCTACCCGAGACACCTCTACGTCCTTGTGTCTTTCTTGACCATGAGCTGTCGCTCCTGTTCCACAATTGTTTCCAGTAAAGTGTCCACTGATGTCGTGGCAGGCGAGCACATTCAACATAGTCTATTGGCTGGTGAGTTCGAATGCTTTAAACTTGCACGACAACCTAGACTTTAATGTGGGTCCATAGTTACCGTTTGAATTGCCGCTCGGACAGCGATAGTCAAAATCAGTGGCCTTTTGTTGTTCCATCTACGATTTGTACAGACTAAAAACGAGAACACATGAGCTCAGATGATTCTTCACGCAACCGGTTGAGCCTGTTTGCAATCAGAAAGCTACTGACGTCTATAGGAAAGGCATGATTCTGTTAGCGAGGCAATTTGGCTCAGTTTACTCCTGTCCTAACCAATGCACACGCTTCGTCTAGATAGCAAGAAACAAACTCGGCGCAGTTATCAATATGATCCCTTAAAAAGTGCTTCTTACACTGACCTCTACCAGTGCGGAAGCCTGGTGCACCATCATCTCCCTCCCCATGCTTTCAGGATACCTAAATCTGTATCCAACATGATCATTGTGTGATTCTATTGAAGTCGACGTGTCACTTTTACGTACCGCACTCCAAAAAGGATGCAGCGTGAATTGAATGTCATTTTTAGGATGTTACAGCCCAGTAGTCAAAAAGCACAGGCCAGCACTCCTATCATGAGTATTAGTAAAAACGCGCATTGCCGGAATTTAGATGACATGATAGTTACGTTGGCTAGACTAAATCGAGCATTTGCAAAAGAGAAAATTAATATAATATCAATAATTAAAGCACCCACTGCAAGCTGGCGCTAAATCATTGCACTAGCAGCATGCAAGGGTCTTGGAAATAAACCAGTGTCACTAATTATTGTCTGAGTTGTGGCGTGGTGGCATTTGTGTTGTTAATGCCAGAAAGCCACGTGGGATCAGCACAGACAGCATCCGACAGAATGAAGCTCACATGCTTGTTAACGCAAGAGTAATTACTGATAACCTCCAACTAATGACAGTTTTTGAACAGTCGCCCAGAGATGTCACGAAATTCCTGTGAAACACTTCTCAGACTGGACCCACTCACCTGCAGGGCCATCGGCACTGCAAAACCAGTCGGAATCATTAAGTCAAG